CGGGAGGGGGCGCTCGGTCCCCACCAAGGACCCCACCCCGTGGATCGAGGTCCGGTACTCCGACGCTCCCGGGCCCCGCAGAAACCACTTTCCGAAAAGGGGAAAGGGGAAAGAGAGGGACGGGCTACTCTTCGCTTCCACGCCGCCTCTCTCCACACCTGGACACGGCGCCCTCTCCCCAGACCTCGCAGTTGTGGGCCACGTCAAGTCAGCCGCCGTACGCACCTGGAGCTAAGACCCGCCTCCCAGGCTGCGCAGGGTCACACTACGCAGGCGCACAGAAATGGCGCGGGAGGCTCTGCTCTAGTCTAGGCTACTTGGAACAGGAAAGCGAGGGAAGGCTTGCACATGCGCGAGTAGGCGCCCAGGCTTCAGCCCACAGTAAAGATGGCCACCGGGACGGCGCATGCGCATACCACCCAATAAGGTACTGCCGGAAGAGAGGCAGCACCGCCGGGCCGGCGGGACGAACGCAGGAACCAACCGAGACTGGAGGCGAGTCTCATGCAGTCTCCGTTTATTGGTGTTTCAGACTCATGCAGCATCCGGCATACAAAAAGGGAGAAATCAGTTTGATAATAGCCTTTTTTTTTTTTTTAAGAATTTTAGTTTTTTTTTTTTTTTTGGAAAAAAAACCCCGCCAAATCCGAACCGCGTTGTAGCTCGGTGCCCGCCTCCTCAGCGGGCTGTCGCGTGCAACAAACCTCCCCCGTCAGCTTAGAAAATAATTATAGAGCGCCCCGCCCCGCCCTCGCTCCTGCCAGTGGGCGCTTTGGTCCTATTTTTTTTGGATTCTTTCGTTATGAAGCACGTGAATGAATCTAGCCCGACACCTTCAAGAAAAAACTCGTGGACTGGGGTTGAAAAGCCCAGGTGGGCGGGTCAACTCCAGCTGACCTGGAGGGGTCAGCGCCGCGTCCCTCCCTTCTCCCCTGCGTGCGTTCGGAACCAGTGCTCGCCACCCTCGCCCGAGTCCCCACATGAGGCCCGGCTTGCCAGCTCTACGACCTGCAAGACACCCTTGGGTGTCCGACCCTGGGTGGTCCCAGCAGAGAACAGTCGGAGCCCGGGGTTGGGGAGCCCTCTCCCAACACTGCTTCCCGCCCCCAAGCCTCATCTAAGTGCTGTCATTTTTGCAGAGTAAACGGTGACGGGAGGTTGGAGAAGAGGATGCTTAAGGGAGATGAGGAGGCAGGAAGAGGAAGGGGGAGGGACGTGGAGAGGAAAGGGGAGATGATAAGGGAAGGAAGAGAGGACTGAGGGTTGAGAGATGCCAAGACAATGGAAGTTGGGAGGAGGCCAGGGTGGAGGTCCCGAGAATTTGGGAGGCGGGAAGAAGTGCAGGGAGGCCAGGAGAGATGCAGGGAGGCTGAGAGCGCAGAGTTGGGGAGGTGTTCAGGGAGGTTTCCAGAGTGCAGGGAGGTTTCCAGAAGTGCAGGGATAGGGGGCCAAGAGGCTGGAGGGGATGCAGGCAGAAGTGCAGGGAGGTTGGAACCAGTGCAGGGATGAGGGAGGCCTACAGTTGGCAGAGGAGCCTGGCAAGATGCAGGAGCAGGACAGAAGCTGTAAACAAGGCTGCTCAGGCTCCCTTGGTCCTTAGGGGTGGGGGCCAGGGCCATCAGTTGGGCTCCCCCCAGGGGAGGGATGGGCCCAAGGCAGCTCCCAACAGGA